CTGGGTCATAGGGTAGTTCTCGTTTTAATGTTTTGAAGAACATCCACACTGTTTTCCACAGTGGCCACACTTCTCCACCAACAGCGTGGAAAAGGGCCGCCTTTCCCCCACATCCTCACCAGCACTTGCTGTTCTTGCCTTTTTGACGAGGATCATTTTAACAAGTGAGGGGTGGCACCTCATTGTGGTTAACAAGTTTATTTTAAACTGAATACTTCGAAAAGCTAATTTTAATCAAAAAAGACATGTCGCAATTTTGCCACAAGCAGAACACCAGTCTGGCCTGCCACCAGTCGTAGATAACTTTAACAAGTACCACGAAAATAAAACAGTTCTTGCGCCAGAGGATGCCTGTTGAAGACTAGGGGCACGGTTTCTTTCTTTTGCAAAAAAAAAGGGAAATCGGCAAATGTTTAAATAGCTGTGAAAGACCAATATACACCCACGGAGACTTTCTCTTCGCCTTCACCTGAAGGACTGAAGGGAAGGAAAATCGGTGAATCGCTTTCTCTCCTGTGATCTGAGGTTATCTGAGCCGCACCTCTCACCCCCAGCTGGGGCGTCTCAGTTGCCTCTGCCTGGGGGCTGGAATGGAGAGGCGTCTCTGAGGCAACCTCTATCTTCGCTCAAATGTCCTTTCTCCACACGACCTCCCTTGATCTCCCTGTTTAAAACTGCAGCCCTCTTTCTTTTCTCCCTTTCTGGGATCTCTTTGCATATTTTCATGCGTGCAGCATCTTCTGGTCACTATAGAATTTACCTGTTTATTTTCTTTATTGCCTGCTGGGAGGTCCGCCCCGGGAGGCTCAGAGTTTGGTCTGACTGTTCACTGCTGCCTCCCCAGTGCCTGGTACATGGTTAGGTGTTTAGTGTTGAATAAATATTCAAACGATGAGGAAAGTGAAATTTTTCCTCCCTGCCCATTGGGGCCTCCCACAGGGAGGGGTTGGGGGAGAGTTTTGTGGTCACCTCTTCTCAGGGACAGATGCCAGCCAAGCCAGACGCAGGGTGCATTTCCCGAGGTATTTTGGCAGTGGCTGCCTCCAAAGGGCTGTTCCCATCAGGATGGATTGGCAGGAAAGCACAGGAAATAAGCAGGTTCAAGAGAAGACACTGAGATAGGGCGAGCGCCAAGCAGTTCCTGTGAATTCTCTGGGCAGGTGAGGGGGGGCGGGCATGTGTCCTGCCAGGGAAGTCAGAGCTGGCAAGGAGCCTGCTTGGATGAACAGAGAAGTGAAATGTGATTCAGCCATACAGTGAAGTATTATTCAGCCTTACAAAGGAATGAGATTCTGATACAGCCTGCGACAGGAAACATGAAGACTTCGGGCTAAGTGAAATGAGCCAGACGCAAAAGGCCACGTTCTGCATGATTCCACCTATGCGAAGCTTAACAGGCAGAGCCAGAGAGACAGAAAGGTAAGTGGGGGACGAGCAAACGGGGAGTGACCGCTTAAGGGGTCCGGAACTTCCTTTTGGGGTGATAAAAATATTCTTAAACTAGATCGAGGTGGTGGTTGCACAACATTGAGAATAAACCTAAAGCCGCTGAATTGTTCATTTTAAATGGTTGATTTTACGTTATGTGAATTTTACCTCAATATAATAACAACAGTAGTCAAAACCTGATGGAAGAACCGCCTCTTCTGATGCCCACTCTGCAGCAGGTGCCACGTCCTCTCAAACCACCACAGCAGTGTCTCCAATCTGGTGGTCCTAAGGTGACTTGAAGGGGCACAAGGACACAGACTGAAATAACTGAGTCCCTGGGTGAGCTGCTGCTTCTCTCGGCTCAGCCCTTCTGATCCCATCAAAGGGAAAGCCTGGGTTGGGTGTTAACAGTTCTCTAACCGCGGGCTGGTCTCCCTTTTAAGAGAGGGAGGGCGGGCCATGGGCCCAGAGCCCAAGGCAGGTGAGGGGATGTGGTTAAAATTTAATGACATGGATTTGCTTTAACTGTATTTACCTTTATGGTATCTTTAATTTCTGGGCGAGTACAGTGGGTTGCATGGTGACCTCGCCCACCACCTTTGAAAAGGCAGGTAGGTACACATCCTAACACCTGGTATCTGGGTGTGTGACTTTATGTGGAAATAGGGTCTTGTAGATGTGACCGAGTTAAGGATCTGGAGATGAGACCATCCTGGCTCAGCGTGGGCCCTAGGAATGGTGTCCTTATAAGAGAGATTTGCCACGGAGGTACAGAGGGTGGGAGGCCACGGGAAGACGGAGGCAGAGATTGGAGCGATGTGGCCACAAGCCCAGGAGTGCCGGCGACATCAGGAGCCAGGGGAGCGGCGGGGAGCGGGGTGTCCCTCGGAGCCCCAGAGGGAACTGGAAACCAGCCAACCCATCAGACCCCTTGATTTCGGACCTCTGACCTCCAGAACTGTGAGGGAATACGTTTCTGTTGTTTTAGGCCACCTACTTTGCAGCCCTGGGAAAACGAACACAGCAGGTGGTAGGTACTGTGCTGTTTTCCTTAAAGTCCCCCTCCTAAATACAGCTGACCTTTGAATAGCATGGGGTTGAACTCTGTGGATCCACTTATATATGGATTTTTTTCTCCAATAAATACTGTGAATGTATTTTCTCTTCCTTACGGTTTTCTTAACAACATTATCTCTTCTCTAGCTTACTTAATTGTGAGAACACAGAATATAATACATATATCATGCCACACGTGTGCTAACCAACTATCTGTGTGTCATCAGTAAGGCTTCCAGTCACAGTAGGCTATTAATAACGTCTTTGAGGAATCAGAAGTTATGCTCGAATTTTCGGCTGCACGGAGGGTGGGGGGGTTCAAGGGTCAATTGTACACTGAATTTATAAGGTGAGTCAAGAGTCAAGGAAGTGACTCAAGTCCAGGTGTTGGGCGCATGTGGGTTCGGGTGGGCACATGCGACGTCTGGAGGGAAAGCAGGCCGAGCTGGGTGGCGTGTGGCCCGGGAGGCAGGTGGGCGGGGTCCAGAGTGAAGGTTCTGGGGCGCAGGTGCCGTGGTGGCTCAGGCAGTGGAGCCCTGTGGCCTCACACTGCCCACTGCACACTTGAGTAAATTCCCAGGGGGGCCCACGTGTCCCCGGTTCAGTGACTCAGACCCGCTCTCCTTCGGAGAAAAGTCCTTCAGAGAGGGAGGGTTTTCCCCACCGACCTGCAGGAGGCAGGAAGGGAAGGGGCTGGGAAGTGACCTTCCCCGAGTGCAGGACGCAGCCTACCCTCACCTGCCCGTCCGCCCTCCAGGTGCCTTCAGAGGACGCATGGACAGGCCTGCCGGCACCTCCACCAGGGCAGAGCCCCTAAACTCCTGCTGGCCAGGAGATGGGCCTCCGGGAAATGCTGGCCACTTCCAGCTGGAGGGAGGGTACACAAGCTCGAGGTGAGGTCTCTTATGTAAATACAGAGGAAGAACTGGGGACTCGAAGAGGCAAAGTCACTGGCCCATGGCCACCATCAGGCAACAGGCCATTACTGGGTTTGAGCCTGGGTTGGGGGGAGTGGGGAGGAAGCTGCCACCGAGGGTCTCGGGCCCAGAGCCCCAGGTCCTTAGAACACTCGCCCTGGGTGCTTTGCCCTCGTGGCTCCCTCCGTCCCGACCACCGCCTTGGAAGCCCCGTTCTTGTCCTTATTTTGCAGATGAGGACACCCAAGCACAGAGTGGAGACCTGGCCACGGCTGCACAGACCCCACCTCCTGAACGGAAGCCGACATCTCCCTACGAGCCGGGAGGTAGGAGAGGAAGAGCCAGTCCACTGAGCACTCCTCTGCGCTCGCACTGTGCAAAGGACCTTCAGCCAGGCACCGCCTCGGGGGCCACGGACCGTGTCTGGACTGTGGACAGGGGTTCCAAGTGAGTCTGCCACCCATTCACACCAGAGAACTGCGGCTTCGCCTCCTAAGCCCAGGACGCTTTGCCCAGCAGCCCGGGGGCCATGCAGAGAATGTGCGGCCTGGGCTTGCACTCCAGGCAGAGTAGGGCTGAGCCCCACAGGCCTCAGAGGCAATGCTGTGCCCTTGCAGGCACCTACCCTCAGCCCTGGCGCCTGTCTCCCCACAGCTGCTGTCCCTGGTTGCGCCACCCTGAGGCCCACCCAAGACCTGTTCCCCCTTGCTTTTAAACTCCTTCTCTCTGGTACCCTTCCAGCAAGCTCCTTTTTCTAGACTGAAGTCATCACAACACATGAGCGCCCACATGCCCTTGGCTGTGGGGACAGGAGAGGCTGCAGCCAGCCGGCCACAGTGCAGCGCGGGATCCAACCTCATCCCAGGGCCCCCAGCACCTTTGTGGCCCTCGGCCTCGTGGCCAACTGTGGAGGACCTGACTCAGGATGAACCCAGGCCAGAAGGGGAGGGAAGTCTGCCGGCGGCCAGTGCGAGACTGGACACGGAGGGCGGCCCGCCCCCCGCATCGGCTTCTACCTGCCAGCAGCCTCCCTTTAACCCTCGGCACAGGGCGGAAGCGGGGGTGCCCGTTCACTCTGCACTCAATTCAGGCTTTACCTCAGGCTGTGTCTGGGCCGGGTTTGAGCTGCAGCGTCAGGAGCTTCCGTAAGAACGCACTTCCGGGGAGGTCCGGTGCGTGCTGGTGTGTCCCCCCCGCCGTCGTCCTGGGTGGGGGCCCTCCTGCCTCCTCCGTCGCAGCCATGACGCAGAGTCCCTGTGCCGGTCCAGCGGGGTAGGGCTGCTGACGGCACCGTTCACAGGTCAGGCCTCTGAGGCTCGGATGCTGACCCACCTGAACAGCAGGTGAGAGCCGGCAGAGCGTGGGCCAAACTCGCTGCACCTGGTGGGGCGGGAGGCGGCAGGTGCTGGATGGGACCTGTGGCATCTGAGGAGTCTTCTCAGCCCTGGGTTAGGAACTGGGGAATTCCTGGCCAGGAAGAGGGCAGGGAGGGGCTGCCCACCCACTGGGCAGCTGCCACAGGCTGAGGGGGTCACACAGGCAGAGAACCTTACCCTTTGCCAGCCAAGGCCTCAGCCCCACAAAGCAGCAGCCACGTTCTGGTAACTCGATTTTATTGCCAAGTTCAAAATTACAAGGAAGTTCCAGTTTTCATTCCACCCCGCTGTGCAGTACTCATGAAGCCTGAGTCACACTGGCGAGAGCAGGTACTTCCCTGGAACAGTCCCGGGTCCCCGAAGCAGGAGGTTTCCCAGCCCTGCTCCGCTCTGGGACAAGAGTTATTTACACAGTTTCAGCTCAGAGGAACATAAGAAACACAGTTTACGCAGTGTCCACATGACTATATGAAATATTTCTTATTTATTGCGTCTAGAAAAGATGAGAATCAGTTCGCCCCATGCCTTTTTTTTTCTTTTCTTTTTTTTACAGTGCATCTTGAGATCTTAGAGACATCTCGCGGATGTCTGTGAGGGGGAGTGTCCCTTCACTCACCCCGGTGTGTAGGAGAGCGGTGAGCAGGACAGGCTTGATGGAGGGGAAGCGGAGAGGGGAGGGCCCTCCTGCCCGCCCTTTCCTGGGATGGGGGCATCTGCCGTGGCTTTGGGGTTGGCCCCCTGCTCTTCCCAGGGGAGCTCCTGAGCTCCCCTCATCTGACCTGTGGGGAGAGGTGCCCTCACTTGCTCGAGCCTTCAAACCGGAAAGGACACGCACTACTCCACAGCAAATTTCAAAGCTGTGGTTTGGGGGTTCATGTGGCCAACCCTGCCCTGACCTGGCAAACCCAAGGGGCCCAATGTGGACTTGGGGAGGGTGGGACCGGCCCCGGCCCCTGCCTCTGTCGGGATGCAGAGATAGGGGACTGGACGGGCTGGCTGAGACTGACCCCAGAGATCTGAGCCTAGGACCTGTGGGTCAGAGACTATGGCTTCCTTCTCCATATTCGCCAAGAATTCCTGGCCCTACCTCTCTGCCCGGCCCCAGAGACCCAGTGCTCTGTATGGACTGGTCAGCCTGGGAGTGTGCCCGCTGTTAGTTTTGCTGGGCGCTCTTGAAAACATAGCTGTGCCCATTGTTGCCAAGATGGCCAAGCCCTAGTGAGGCGGGACCTTCATCGGAGCCAAAGCCCTGCCTGCCTCCTCCGGACCCCAGAACTCCCAGCACAAGGACGCACACCCTCCTCCTCAAAAGCAAGGTGTCCTGGGACCCTGGTTAAAGCATTCCCCACCTATGTACCTAAAGGCATCCTGCTCAGGCGACCTGCTGGTTGGCTGTGGGCCACAGTGAGACCAAGCCTGCAGGGCCCTGAGAGAGGCCTGCCGCTGGCCAGGGCCGTGGGGCAGAAGCCTGTCCTGATCTGTACCTTTTGTTTGACAAGCTAGGCTGTGTTCAGCTCCCCGGGCCTGGGCGATGCTACTGCAGGTCCCCTCAGTATGCTGTCTCCCATGCCCAGACCTTTCTCCTTCGGTATTTGGCAGCCACAAAGCCACCTGGAACCGCTGCACTTCAGAAGGCAGGCTGGAGGTCCTGGGGAGGGACCTGGGTCTACCTGCACGGGTTTGTTCCTCCCAATAATGCCACTGGCCCAGAAAGTCACTTGCCTTCTCATTTCTGCTGCCCCAGAGTCATCTGAAAACCAGAAGTGTCTGGCCCTGGGGTTGGCCTGTTCTATCCTAGCAGGACATGTGGCTGGCTGTTGGAGGATCGGGGTGCCATCATCCCTGATGGCACCCTCTTTCTCGCCATGGATTGTCCTCCCCTTCTTCCGTCCTGCCTGGCTCTGCTGATGGTCGTAGCTTGTCCCTCTTGCTGGGGACCCTGAATTTCGGCCTAAACGGCCTCCTTTCTGAGCTGGGTCTTCTCTTTGTTGAAGCTGGGTGGGCACAGCTACCTGGGAGGCTCCTGATGAACAGACAGACACCTGTCCCCTTAGGTATTCCTCCTCCTCCTCTTTGGGATCACCGTTTCCTTCAGGAGGTTGAAATCTGGCCCTGGCTGGCCCTGTCGCTGCAGATGGGTTGAAGGAGGTGGTGAGGACCGTGTCCTCTAATAGGTGGATGATGGGCACTCAGAGCATCTCCTCAGGCCGACACCGACACCGACACCGTGTGTGCTACACCCCTGGTGGACACGGGCAGGAAAGTTGTGGGAGGTCTCAGCACTGACCAGAAGGAAGGGAGGGGCGCTTGACTGCTTTACTGGATGTGGTGACAAACTGGCCCCACACAGCCAGCCCACAGGGAGAAGGAACTTGGTGGGGAGTTCACTTTACAAACAAGCTTGTGTCTTTGCAGCGGCATCCAAGAGGAAGAGTGACAAACTCCGAGCTCCCAGGATGACTCTGCGAGCTCCGAGGTCACACCCTCGCAGCTGGTCAGGAGCTGGGGTGTCCTGCAGAGAAGTACGAGCGGCGGGCACCGTGGGGGTGCCTTCCGTGGCGTTTTCTTCCCACCACGGCCCCAAATGGTTCTTTCTTAGACAGAGATGGCAACAGCTCTGGTGATGCTGGACACCTGTCGTGTTCGGTTTCAGTCCAGAGAGATGAGGAATTGGGTCTTAAGCCAGGAGCTGACTGCATGGTCCCCTTTCAGGAAAGATCTTCCAGGTAATGCCAGGCCCCCTGCCGCCTCGCAGAGAAACTTTTGGCCCTCCCCACTCTGTGCGTACCTGAGAATACATGCATCTCCCTCACTTTGTTTAAAAAATACTCTATACTTTCCTGGGAGGTGCTTTATCATCCCACAGGCTTGCAGAGTTAATGAGTAATAGAGAAATAAGAATCACTTAAGAAAACGGAGAAAGCCTGACTGAGAACTCTAAATCAAAACATGGGAAGTTCAAGGGAAAACGAAAATGAAATCTTAACAGTAATATTACACTTTTCACATGACATCAAACCTCAGCGTTGAGGATTTTTTTTTGGATTGCTTCCTTTCTTTTTTTTTTTTTTCTTTTAAATAGATGCTTTTAAAATAAATGCTTTTCAGCTGCTGCCAAAAGTGGAAATAAATACCCAAAGGAGATATTTATCGAAGTTTGCTTTTCTATAAGTTTCTACCTAAAGTGACCCTGTCTCTCCTTCCGGGCACACTGAGGATGCTGGGCCTGGGGAGGCTGGCTGATGAAAGCAGTGGTGCCAGTGGGCCCTGCCTCCCTGGGGCTGCTGGGCTCAGAGACCGGAAGCCCAAGCTCCCCCACCCCGAGGTGGCCATCTCGGTTATCCGGGTTCACTGGGGGAGCCTGCGCCAGGCCCAGCTTGCTCTCGGAGAAGTATGAAGCGGAAGAGGAATTCAGCGGAGCCAAGGAGCACAAGGATGGGTGGAGGAGATGGTCACTGGGAGCCGTGGAGAACCGCGATGCCCCCGATGTGTCTTTTGAGTGGCACTGGGCCGCGTGCACAAAGGGAGGCCGCTCGGCGCTGACTCAGTGCTCGGCGGGGCCCGCTGGCTCCGAATGGACAGCCTCCTCGTCCAGGGTTCCCGTGCCCTCTGTGGCTGGTGTGGGTGGCGGGGGGATGCCGGCGAGGGTGTGGAGGCTGTGGGGGTCAACGGGCGGGACGAGGGTCAGTGACTCCACGCTCAGCGTGTCGGCGGTGTCCTCGCAGAGCAGGGAGATGGTGGGCTGCTGCGCGGGGATGAGGCTGGGGGACAGGCTGACCGGCTCCGCATCCGCGCTCTTTGCCAGGCTCTTGCCGGGCCTGGCACCTGCTTCCGTTTCATTGACGATCACCAACTGGTCGGGGAGGTTAGGCTGAGGCTGTTCCATAGTCATGGGGTCATCTGGGAGGAAGGGAAAAACAAAGGGACACTTAGCTCCGAGACACTGTTTCCGCGTGCACCCTCTGCTCTGTCCCGAACAAAGGCCCAGGGAGGTCTGGGTGGGAGACAGAAGTTTTGAGGGAACAGCTTGTTCTACTTCCTCCTGCTGGGGACACAGAAGCTGGTAAATCCAGTCTGACCTAGGCTTGGGAGAAACCCTGTCAGCGCCCAGGGTCACCCTCACTTGTGACACAAGAGAAAAATGAGGGGCTTGTGCAAAATCAACGGGTGGATTCGGGAAGCCCAGGGATGCTGGGCAACGGCCCAGGTGGGCCGCACGTGTGAACAAGTCCTGGACCACCCGCCTGATGATAACACACGTTAAGGGAGGAAATGGGCTTGTGTGTGCTTATCGTTTCACGCCATTTCCAGAGTCAAATTTGGAGACATTTACCCAGAAGGGAACGCACTGCGATATAAATTAAAAAAAAAAAAAAAAAAAGAAAAGAAATTCTATACACCTTTTCCACTTGCAAAACCAAACCCAAACTTTGAACTGGGGCTTGTCTCCTGGTCCTTCTCTCAGTGCTGTGCTGAGCTGTCCCTCAGAAAGGGACAGTGATGGCCCACGGCCATTCCTGTGTCCCATGGAGAGAAACCAGGAGGAAGGCCGGGAGGCTCTGCCTGAGACAGTCAGTCTCAGAGTGGCAGTTTCTTTTTTGGTGATTTTCAAAATCCTCAATGAGATTATAGACAGATGGCCTGATTCGCTTCCCAATGATGGGTTTGCCTGGACAGAAACGCCAGCTGTGACTAGACGGCGTTGTGGGGAACGTCTTCTAGTATGTCACATGCCGGCCATTTGAAAACACTGGTAAGAAGGCTGTGGGCACCCCGCTTGGAAAGCAAATTCTTATTTGTACAGATGTTGGGGTCAACGAGCCATCGGGAGAAGGTGCCGAGGACACCGTGTGCGGCTACGGGTCTGAAAGCCCCCTGGGGCCTGGCAAGGCGGCAGGCTTTCTTTTGTTCAAGGTGATCCCAGTTATTCGTTGTTTTCTTCCAAGTTAAAGCCAAAACAAAACAGAGGTGCGAACTGAACACAGAGTGAAAGAATGAGAAAACCAAGAGCCAAACAAAACCAAAGGGCACGCAGAATGGGATGAAGGAGAGGCGGATGCGGGTCCCTGGCCTGGAGAGGAAGCACAAGCGACAGATCGCGCGTGTCCCAAAGCACACGTTGGCGCCTCTTCCCACAAGGCTCTCAGGCAAGCTGAGCTCTACAAGGTCCCAGTTAATTTCTTTGTAAGGCCTTTTATTTATTTATTTATTCATTTTTTTTTTTTTTAAAGAGAAATAAGGCCAGAGGCAACCACTGTGTGAGACTTCAGGTACTGTGTCCTCGCTCTGGGAGGGTGACATTGGGGCACCAGTGAGAACTAGTGGAAAAAGTGATTCAAGCTGGGTGTGATCTGAGCCCAGAGCGCTGAGTAAACCCTCCACACGCATTCTGGTTTCTCTGAATTTCCACGGCTTTGCTGCATTCGGTAAGGACACCCGCGGTGATGTGCTGCTGGTTCCGAAGCCCCGGCTCAGGTTCTGACCCAGCAGAACCTGCTTGTCATTCATCAGAATGAGAGGCTCTCTGCGGGGTGGGGGGGGGGCGCGGTTCCTCTGCTCCAGCAGCCTCTACCTCCCTTCACAGGGGCGTGAGCATGAATTCCTGTGCATACGAATCCACATGTAAGCTGAGCTGCTGATGGGGCAGTTTAGAAATGAGTAATTCCCCAAATGGCACTTTTGTGCCATCTGGAGACAGAGCTGCAAAGCATTTCCTTCACGTTTTTCTCAAAACTTCTATGTAAGAGTTCCCCCTTTGCTCGAGTCTGCATTTGCATGCAGATTTTCAAAAAAGCGGGCAGAAGCTTTCCCTGACCCCGAACGGGGGTTTTGGTAATAAGAATAATCAAGGAGGTGGGAAAGTTGCCATCAAACGTATTAAAAAACAAACCCATGAACACTACCATACACACGAGACGGGTTTCTCTGTGGGAAAAGAACCAACAATTTTATTAAAAAGGTCGATTTTTTTCCTCGTAAAAATAGTATCTATTTTTTTTTAATAAGAAAAAAATAACCTCGTACCCATCACTCACAATGCTGCCTTACTTTTACTTATTTTTTGACTTCGTTATTATTTTTGAAACTAAGAACTGCTTCCTGAATGTGATCTTCACATTTATTCATTCAAGGGGTGAGCAGGGGGTGGCGGGAAAGAATTACGCAGCGAGGACACATTTTCTGGCCAAGTGCCGAGCTGCAAAGGTTACTGCAGCTGGTGTTTTGAGGTCTAAGGCCACAGGCTGGGGCTTGGCCCAAAGAATGAAGGATTCAGAGAACATTCTGGCTTCCTGACTAGGGGCCAGGGAGACGACTGGAGGCCAGAGTAGGAAATCCTGGACGTCCAGGTTTCCACAAGTGAAGCTTGGCCTCCCCACGGCTCTGTCCCAAGCTGACCGTCGCGTCCCTGGCCGGCACCCTCAGAAGCTGATATTCCGTTTTGGGGCAGGGGCTCGGCTGATCCTTGTCGAGGGAGTGACAGTTTCCAGTAAAAATTTGGGTTTGATGTGCTCAGTCTGGAAAAGGTGGGCCTGAGTGACGCGGGGAAGAGAAGAAAAGCAGAGCGAGTCAGGAAGGCAAAGCTCAGAGGAAACAGCTTTTGAACGCAAAAGAAGGCAGAAGGCTCCTGCCTGGTTAGTACAGCTACCAAGTGGGGGGCACATGCGGGAACCCTAAAAGAAGCGTGGAGGGAGAAGGCAGTAGCAAGGGGCCCCACGAAGCACACTGCTGTGGGTTAGCGGCCCCCGGACCAACCCTGCTACAATTTGGAGCACTAAACGTAAGAAGGGGAATGCTGGAGTCACATCTACCGGTGTGTTTGTAAGTGAAGTTACTTTTGGCCTCTGGCTGGAACGAGAATGAATCGACCACTTATCATTGAGCGAGGCCAAGGGTAAAAAAAAAAAAAACAAAAGGAAAAGAAAAAAAAATGAGCTGACTTTTTGGACGCTTTTTGCAAATTCTACCACCCAAATCCTTGTGGCCTGAACTGGGCGGGGAGGGGGGAGGGGCTTGGCTGGGACACCCGCCTCTAGCTCAGGCCCTGGGCTGAGCCTGAGCTGAGGCTGGCCTGCCCGGTATGTCATGGAGAATAACAGCGTTTCCAGGCTGCCCAGGTCTGGCTCAGAAGAACTGACATAAGGGTCGAGGGCCGGGGGATTCTGTCCTCAGACGAGATGAGGTCATGAAGGGAACGAGAAAGCCAGCCCGGGGGGAGCTGAGGAAGTGCCCACTCGGGGGACGGCCCTCAGGTCACAGCCCGGCCCAGACTGCCATGCGGACCCTGCTGACCGTGCAGCGTGGTGAAGGGACATCGTGGGCCCGTGGAGGCTAATGGAGGAGACCTGCCTGAATCGACTGTGCCAGAGTTGCCGTGACAGCTGCCGTTCGAAGCACTAAACCCAGTGGCCGCCGTGACTGTCGGCCTCCGACAGGCTGAACACTCGCCGGCGTCCTTTCCTGCCACTCCTGACTAGAGGGAAACACAGCGACAGATCATAGAAAGCCTTTAACAACGGGACAGAGAGAGGTGACATGGAGAGGGGGCACAAAGCGGAGACGGACGGACACTAAGCATCGACGAGAGTATGAGGGGAGTGGAGGCAGCGTCCCAGCGGGTGCTGTCGCAGCTGGGGCGTGGGGCGCAGCCCGCCATGCAGGTAAGACACTCCCCACTGTGCCCCCTGCCCCCGGACGAGGTGGCGTCAGGACAGCTAAGAACCAAATCGTTTGCTCGTGGGACTCGATCGGGGCAAAGACAGCGAAGGTTCTGTCCTGTCGGAGAGGAGAGAGTTGGGGTCATCAGCAACATCTGGCCTTGCTGAGAAACCTCAGGGGACAGAAGAACAAAAGTGCCCGTCAGTTTTCGATGCAAACCGGCAGTTAAGATGCAAACCGTGCGTCCTGGGACAGTATAAGGAGGGCGGGCTGTGTGGTTGGGGGATCGAAACCAAACCAGCTAGTGAGACAAGCAGATTCCTGATCCCACTGATGAGGCTGACGGTTCTCGGTGGCACCACGCTAGAGCCAACAGCACACAGCTCTGTGATTTCTGGGAAAGCCTCAGATGGGCGAAGCGCTCCAAGATCCCCTCCCCGGCCACGAGGTGACACTCTTCGGGTGACGCTCTGGTGATCTGAATCTCTGAAAACCAAGACTGGACTGTGGCAGGAAGATCTGACACCAGGAGCCAAGGAGCCAGAGAGTGGGTTCTAATGGGCTGAAACAAAACCGTCAGGAGCATCTCGCTGGGAAGAAAGGAGCCGTCACCTCTGAGGCAGACTGGGGATTACAGCAAAGCTTACAATCAAGGCCGCAGAACACCACAAGGTGAAGGTACCTGATCACTGCACCTAATAAGCTTAAAAACGGTTAAAATGGCACATCTTATGTTATGCATATTTTACCCCAATTTAAAAAAAATTAATGCCACGGAGAAAACTGGAGAGAAAAGATAGCACATCTTACTCGGGTTTCTGTCCTTAAAAGTCCTGCCTGACTGGTAACTGGGTTGGTTCAGTGACACACGCGGCGATCTTGGGCTCTGCGGCTCTCGGTTGGCTCAAATAGAACCGCGTCCTGGGGTGAAGGTCGCATGTTCAGACAATTGGCTCCGAGAGCAGGTGAGGACAAGGAGGGAGGGCCAGCACAGCACAACCCTGTCCTTGTCAGGCTCCCAACACTGGGCCACCAGGAACCAAATTCTTCTTTCTTTCTGTAAATCCTGGAGAAGAGTCATAGTGGCCACAGCTCATAATTCCATGCGTCTTAAGAACGGCCATTGGAAGAGCAGGCTGGCTTTCACTCTGACTTCATTTTTAACAATTTTTCTTCCTTTTCACCCAGGACATGTGTGAAATGCAACAGATATGGGATGGGAGGCACACGTGGCTAGTTAAGGAACTTGGTGTGGGTCACAGAGCTCTTAACTGAGGGGGCGATTTTCTTATCAGAATCCCTATGCTGAGCATACCTGTGATAGAGTGTGTGTGCATTTTAGTGTGTGTGGGAACGTGTGAGTGCATTTGTGTGAGTGTGCATGTGTTAATGTGGTCATCTGGGGTCCACTTTGCTCCTGACTTGGGGAGCCACCAGGCTTCCCCCCACAGGGGCCGCAGAGCCCAGCCTTCGCTTCCTGCGCTGCACCGTGACTTGGGCGTCAGTGGACGGGCTGTGGCCTTTCATTTGGGCTATAGAGCGACCGTGCACCTCAGGGGCTACCCCCAGCCGGGATCCGCACCTGGGGCCCAGGTGTCTGGGTCGCCCCTCGGAGGTACCCAAGGCCGACTGAGAGAGCCCATCGATATCCCACAGGATGGTTTCGGAAGGTGGAGCACAGGCTTTGGAGCTGCCGAGGCCAGGTTCACGGTCAGGTTCCTCTGCTTTCTCGCTGCGTCCTGGCCAAGCTGCACGACCTCTCTTGGCCCCTGTGTTTTCAGTTGTACAACGTGAAGTGGGATTCAACGTGGGGGTGTCTGTGAAGTGCTTCCGAGCACAGTGTCTGAAACACAGGAGCTCAGGTTTGGGAGGAGCGTCTACTGGGACGCCATGCAGCGATGTCACCAAGGAGCCCATGGAGTGGGTGCCACGCCATATCAGCTGTCCGAAGAGCGTGAGGGACGCCCTGGCTTTATAGATTGCCTTGCACAATTCCAGGTTTCAAAACCACGGAGCAAAGACATGGAAACTGAGCCCGTCTTGTCCTCTGGTGCATGGCATCTCTTGTGTACTTTCCCAACCCGACACCTGACTGGCAAACTGTAGCTTTGAGAGCAAAGAAGCCACTGGAGTTTGTGAATTCTGGCTGCAGAAGGCCTGGCAGCTGCTGTCTACACTGGGGACTTCCTGGACTCGGACGTTCTGCGAACAGGGATAGGAATGCTTCTGATTCAGCACTGTGTCCTCGAAAACCACTTTGAGGACAAGTGGCCTCTTGGCTGGGCTATGGGGAGAGGCCCTGGATCACTCTGTCGCCTGGTTGGCCCTCCGAGGATGCCGCCCTGGCAGACTGTGGCCAGAACCTGTGGGTGGAGAGTCTGCTGAGCAGGCGGCACTGGGTCACCACTCTAGGACGACGTCAACCAGAACACTGGCTGAAGGGCACCCATCTCAATAAAACCTGCCTGCCTTCTATCCTTGGTTGCCCATCCGGTACAGCTCGGTAAGATGCCAGGCAGATGTTGGGACCATTTGGGTAGACCTGCCCCTACAGGGGACATGAAAACCCCATGTCCTCTGGATGGACCCGGGAGGGTGAGGGATGACCTGGAAGTTTGGCATCGAGAGACAAGTGAATGAATGGTGGTCTTCTCAAGACTTGCCACTCCAGCTCGTGGGCCGGGGGTGCGGAGCTGGCTCCTGTGGCCGGGCACCTGTGACAGGGAGGAGCTCATGTGCTCTGATGCTATCTCTTTCTAGGGACCAGCAGGTGGGCCCTTGGTTAAGGGTGAAGTGTAAGCTGCCTGACAGGTCAGTCATTTCAGTGTCTGCAGAGATTTGAACAGGCAGCCTGGGCCTCAGGCTTTTACTATCAGGCAGCGTAAAAAATGGGGACTCACACGTTGGCCTCCATACACCTCCCGGGGATGCACCGAACAGGAGCAGACTCCAGGGAGGGCCTGACCATCACTTATCGCCTGGAATCGCCTGGCTACCCGACAGCCAGGCTAACAGCCCCTATGTTCCGGAGACAAGAGGACACGTCGTTGGCACGTGTGCAGGGGATGGTGGGGGTAGGGACAGAGGGGCTACAGGGGTCAAGATAAAAGAAACCAGCACAGTGTGGACCCCAAGCCTCAGGGGAGGCACAGAGCCAGAGCCCAGGGTGGCACGCTCAGGGAGACATCTGCACACGTGGCCCGATTTTGACAAAATGGCTCTTTGGTGGTTTCAGTTTTAGGCAAAGAAGTATATGGCTCATTTGTTCGCTTAGTTATTGGCAGTGCCTCCTTAAAAACGAAAGAAAGGTGTACATAGCTACACCAGGAAGAGGCCTTTCAACTAAAATGCAATTGTAAGTATACGTGTAAGTGGGTGCACACAACACAGACACAGAAGCGTGCACATGCAGGCAGTATATGTATGCACACACGAGCACACAGACACACAATCCTGCACTCGGGCCCCCAGAGCCATCATGAGACCAGGCTTCAGAGGGAGGCTGAGAGTTGTTCTTGGCTTCTGGAGAAAGCTCTGTCTGAATTTCCCAGATACGAGCCTGGGAACGGCAGCGACGACGGCCTGGATGTGCAGCCACCCTTAAATCGGGCTCAGAAATAGCTCAGAACAGATGGTCATCTTCCCACAGCTGGAGAGGAGCAGGTGCCGCCTGGAAGAGGGTCTGAGTAAGCTGGCTCGAGGGTGACCTTGCTGCCTGGGCCTTGTGAATGTTGATAGGTGACGGAGGTAATGGATGCCTGTGGGATGGGGGTGGGGGTACAGGCGGGCTGAGGTGCCCTGAGCCACAGGCACGGAGACCACACCAGCTTAACCCTTTGCTGGGGGCTGCAGAAGCTGAAAACTCCGGAGCGGTGTGGGCACCCGAGGAGATCTCTACCTCTGGAGCTGAGAAGACCGGAGCCAGGGGCCCTCAATTTCCCTGGCACTGAGGTAGCTCGTGTCCTGACACACTGCTTTTGTTATGACCCACTGATCCACAGCTTAAGAACAGTTTGGTCAGGCGCCCTGATATATAATGGCTGAGGGCTCTGGACGGGACCTTGCAAGAACAGCAAAGGACATAGAGGGTCCCCAAATGGGGGTTTGGACCACAGTCACTGGGGCCCTGAACACCCATGCTGTCACGCAGCTGGGGTGTGAAGCCTCACATACTCTCAAGGCCATCGCCACTGTCCCTCCTCAAGTCCTGCTCCTCAGATTGCATTCTGGGGCTATGCTGTTCGAGAAACAGCCTGACGTCTTTACTCCTGGGATCGTATGCAGCTCAGTGGGGCGCTCACAACAGCTGAGAACACAGGGTGTTGGGGGGACATCCACTCAAACATCTCATTCCAGGATCCCTGCTCACGGGGTCTCTCTGTGCTACGTTGGCACTTGTGTAAATTGCAGGAGGGCAAGATATGACCTTGGCATATCCTGCCTGACTCTCGAAGGCAGCAAGGTGCACCACGGTCATAGACAACTGTACCGCACCAAACATTTAAAGAGGAAACTGGTATGTTATGGAAGAAAAAAAATTAGCACGGACACGATTCTTTTGCCAGGCTTCAAGCAATGGCATCCGGGAGCGCCTTCCTCGTGACACATAAGACTTCAGAGGTGATAAGAGGGTGGATTCAGGCTTGGCCTGCCGTCCGCCCCCTCCGGCTGTGCGGTCAGGGAAGGCCTTCAGTGGACCAGGCTGCAAAAGGAGTGATTCCCACCCTGCTGGGGGCTAAACCAGCTGGCCTGTGGGCAGCATCATGTTAAGAGTGAGCATGGAACCCCGAGTGGCAGTGTCCCCAAACACGGTGGCGAGGAGGAGCTGGGTATCAGCAGTCTCGGTGTCAAGAGATTACAGGGTTCCCCAAAGTTCCCCCACATTGTGTCACATGGCCAATACCTGTCGGGCTCTGGGCAACAGAGGGGGTGGATGATGAGCTGGCACCTCCTGAATCACAGTGGCTGGTGCTCCCGCTGCCGCTGGGGCTCCCGCTGGCAGATGGTGACGGTGAGGACAGGGATGGCGAGCTGTGCTGGTTTATGCACTGAGCCACGGCAAAGCCTGCAAGACAGGGTGGTGACGTGATCAAGTGGGAGGAAACAAGCAGGCCTGGCGGGAGCGGGTGCCATCTGCCCCAACTACGTGTGGGACCCTGTAGGACAAACCCCCACCTCAAAAGTGGGGCTGGGGCCTTAGTGTAAAAGCCACGCTAACCGACCTCAACCCGGATCCCTGAAAGTCTAGGTCAGCTCTGCAGTGAGCTGACCTCAGCGGCCATGAGACTGACCTGGACACACTTTAAAGCTGTTTCAAGGAAAAGGGGCAGCCGGTCACAGAGCTGAGGACAGGGCTGTGAGCTGTAAATCTGAGTGCCTGATGCTGGCTCAGCAACGTGCTGCTGTGCCCTTGAAACGGACGCTTAGCCCTGGAGCTTCAGGGGGGAAGTCCTGGCGAAGTTCCCACCGAGACGTGGGCAGCCTCGTGGGAAAATCATGGGGTCTCTGCTGATGCACTGAGTTCTGCCAAAGGCAAGGCACCGGACCCGAGCACTGGGCAGGAGGGGTGAGCCCCCAAGACTCCCTCTGCCAGAGAATGTGTTCTGCCCTGGCGAGGTCTGGCGAGTCTGGTGTGAGAAACCAAAACTCAGCCACGGTCCTGCAGCACAGAACATTTCCGTCAACCACGGTGGTCCCCTACGATTATAATGGAGCTGAGAAATTGCTGTCGCTTAGTGACACAGTCATAGCTGTCACAGCCAACAAGTTCATGACTCATGTGTTTGTGATGATGCTGGTGGAGACAAGTCTACTGGACTGCCAGCTGCATGAATTATATGCAGTCTGTAATACCTGAGAATGATAATAAACGACTAAGGTACTACAGTTTATGCATGTATCTGACCATACTTTTCGCCGTTATTTTATTTCTTTCGTCATATTTCGGAGCGTACTCTTTCTACTCATAAAAAAAAGTTTACTGTGAAACGGCACTGTGTTACGTAGGCGGCAGCCTCGCACGTCTCACGTTTACGTCTTGACTGTATCATCTTCTCTTGTGCTTGAGTTAATCTCGTGCTGTTTCGTACAGGAACGTGCCATACGGGCCTGCAGCCCAGGAGCAGCAGCCCACGTCGCATAGCCAGGTGTGTGGCCGGCCGCACCAGCTAGGCTGGTGCTAGTGCCATCTCTGATGCTCGCACAACGCCCTGTCGACGCATCCCGCAGAACGTATCCCTGTCGCGAAGCAGTGCACGACTGACCGCACAGAGACACTCTGGGTTTGGAGACTGGGACAACACACTTCTGGGGACTGTGGCCCTCCCCGAACGGGGGAGTGGACGAGCCCCATGATCTGGAGACACTTCGACGTGGGCGAACCCCGCTTCGCCACGCAGAGGCGCTGGAACGCGTGCCCAAGGTCACTTCCCCACTGCTAGCTGGGGCAGCCATCGTCCGTTTCTCATCGCCCCACTGTAGAGGGGAGACGACGAGAGGGTGTCCCTCAAACTCCTACACGGGGCGTGGCGGGCGGTGAGAGCGGTGTGCTCTTTTTGACGAAACGAGGCCCTTCCGCGCAAGCTCATGAGGGAGCCCTTTTCCAGAGGACACGTGCTTTCCGCAGACTGCGACATCTGTCCTTTTTACAGTCTGCTTTTCTTTTCTTTTCTTTTTTTGTTTTGCCAAATAGATTATCTTTATTGGGTACCCACTGAACAAGAAATATACTGAATATATGGAGCTAAAGTTCATGTCGAAAGATTCAGTCTGATAAAAATAGAGGCACAAACCCTTATAGTCCGCTTTTCTAAAGCATGGGCCACAGCTTCTGATTTTATTCACTACATATGCGGAAGCCTCCATGGAACAAACGCCTCGCGGACAATCCCAGCGGCCCGTGCAGACCATGGTGGTTCTGGCTCCAGGCAGGGCCACGGTAACAGTGCTCTGTGGCCCTGCTGCTTCCGCCCCGTAAGTCAGAAGCAGCACCAAGTTGGGGTGCAAGAGGGGGGCGAGTCCTCCTTCTAGCTGAGAGAGGGACCTCGACCTTCCTAGCCAGTCACATCAAACCTCCCTACTTCCTGAGCACACTCACCGCAGCCAGCTCCAAACCTCACTCACTTCACCTGCGTGAATGCCACCCAGTCCAGCTCCCGCTGACACTTCTTCCAGAACCTGACCTCGCTCTTTCCCAACTCAGGAAGGTGGCAGAGTGTGGAGTAGGGGGTCAGCGGACTGTGGGCCGATGACTGGGAGATAAAGTTTTATTGGCACAGTCGTGGTCCTTTGCTTACATACTATCTGTGGCTGCTTTTCAGCTTCACCAGCGGCGTTGAGCAATTGCCATAGGAATTGCACGGCCTGCAAAGTCTCAAGTATTTTACTCTCTGGCCCTAACTGAACCTGGAAGAGGATGGAGCAGAGACTCTGGGGACAGGAAAGCCTGCCTTCTATTCCTGCTCTGCTCACTTACCGGGCATGGGGCCCTGGGCAAGTACTTCCCTCGGCCTCTTCCCTTCACCTGTTGGTGTGTGGGCACAGTCCCTAGGATGGAGCAGAGACTCTGGGGACAGGAAAGCCTGGCTTCTATTCCTGCTCTGCTCGCTTACCGGGCATGGGGCCCTGGGCGAGTCTGTACTTCCCTCAGCCTCCTCCCTTCACCTTTTGGTGTGTGGGCACAGTCCCTGGCTGAGAGAGAGAGAGTGAGTGTGTGTGTGTGTGTGTGTGTGTGTGCGCGTGCACGCGCGCGCGGGGACCTGCTGCTCTATCACCTCTTAGGACTTAGTAGGAACACACCTGGCCACCATGGAGGGGCTATTTTGTACCAACGTTTGAGTGAAGTTATCTTTGTCTAAGGATTAGCTCCTAGGAGCCGGGTCTCCATTCATACCCCAGCCAGGCCCTCTGGTTTGGGGAGATGCAATGGCAGGTGGATGTGAGGCCTGGTGGGAACACCGAGGGTGAACTCACCAGCCCCTCTTCCGTAAAGGAGGCTATTCCCCACCTCTACCGTCTGCTCAGCGTGCTGGAGTCCTCAGGAAGAGGTGTGGTGCCACGCACTGTGCATGTGGTGGGGGCCTCAGATGGACTGTGACAGAGAGCCAGGAGGCTCCCCGTCAGCCATCAGCCACAGCCCCACACAACTCCCTGTATAGCTGCTCACTTCTTAATCACTCCGAGCGGTAAACCCTCAAGTTCACAAGCTGTTTACTTGCCTCGAAAATGAATCGCCCCTCAACAAATCAAAATGTCAGGACGGCTTTTCCTGAGTCGTGTGTTTATCAAAGCCATGAACGGCAGGGCCTGCGAGTGTGGGAACAGAGTTGAGGCTAAGCCTCTCGCCCTCCCGACAATGCCTCAGCCCGAGTCGCTGAATGATGGGGCTGTCACCGAGGCGGTCACTCACCCCTTCTCTTAAGACATATGTCTTCTCTCTCAGGCTCTATAATGCCCTGCTTTATTACCGTAACACATCTCGGGCCTGGGGGCAGCAGACGAGATGCTGAAGCTGTAGTCAGGCCACCAGAGTTCCTTCATTGTGGGAATGAACAGGGGGTCAAGCCATAGGTTGCCAGTAAATACTGCACACCATTTGTATGCGCTGAGAGTTAAATACAAAAAACAGTCACTGACCTCTGATTCCGCCTGTTTGCAGGGTCTAGTTGAGTGGAGGAGACTAAACATGTCTCTCTCTCGCCTGCTGCTAAAAACCCACCTCCCTTCTTTCCCCACTTTCTGTTTACCGCCCCCCGCCGCCACCGCCCCCCCAGGCCACCAATAGCACTGGAAACCCAGAAAGGCTCGACGACGTGGGGTTTTTTGTTTTTTGCCGGGTACCCAGACTCTCCCTGCAGTTTCAAGGGGCTGCTTCCCAAATAGAGGTGACCACTTCGAGTCACTATGATATGTCAGAGGGTCAGGAGGTCTCCGCAGAAAACTCAGGACAAAGGCCTGTGACTGCAGCGCCTGACCTGATCTTGGATATCCGGCCAGGCAGCTCTCGCTGAACTCGCTTTGACAGAGGAGCCAAGGGGCCTTCTGGGCTTGAGTCGAGACCCATGGGCTGCCTAGTACTCGCACACACGTCGATGAGCCAGAGGTCACACGGCACAAGGCTACAGGCAAAGAGGCCTCCCTGAGATCTTCTCCGGCAGATAAAATTCTGGGCTCTCCCCAAGTTTGTCTCAAGAAAAGCTCGTGAAATGTGTATCAAAGGCCATGTGGATTTTCACACGACCGAAGTGATTCCACACCCCGAAATTTAGAGGGGAGCTGCGGAAGGCACTGTGGGTGAATTCATGTGGTGAACCGCGCAGGTGTCCAGAGCACTGCTGTGGGGAACAGGGGCCTGGAGACGACCAGAAGATCCAACAATGAGAGAGAGGCCAGATGAACTCTAACACGTCTCCACGACGAAATCCTCTGCTGCTGCTCAGAACGCTGCCATGAAAGACGATACAGTGTAGAGGGAGACGTTTAAGACGCGGTAAAGGGAGAAAGAGGTTAGAAAACACATGTCCTGCAGACTCCCACCGCGGCAAAAAAAAAGACAAATAAAATGCAGGCTCTGCCTCCCTCCTTGCACGGAGCGGGACAGACAGGCTGGAGGGATCGGAACTGAGCCGCGGGAGAACCCAGTGGTTTCGTTATGGCGAGTTTTATTTTTATTTTTAGTGCTTGCCTAAATCGTCCAGGATTCCAACTATGACTATTATTTTAAACCAGGAAAAGAAGGGAGGCTGAAGAAAGGGACACAGGGCTGCCTGGGAGCTGCCTCAAGCTCCCGGGTCCCTAACACACCCCTAGGATCTGTGCCGGCCTCCAAAGCTCTCCCCACCGGGGACTCACAAAGAGCCTCCCCAAAGCCGGGGCGAGGCGCAGTGCTCCAGAAGCAGGCAGACCTGTGCTAATAGCAAACCGCATCCCCCACTATCTTCCCAGGGGTGGGCCGGGTCTTCCTGGCGAGGTCCATTCTGCCAGTTATTCTGGGAAGATGAACTCATGAGTAAGTCTCTGGCATTTGTCAAGTACAAAAATACGACAAAAAGATCAGCCTTCTACTCG